AATTATTGGGGTGAATGATTTTTTACCGTTTCTATTACAACCGTTGTCTTTAGGTATCTTTCCATCAACTGATGTGACTTAAGTAACCATTCGACAGAGCAAAAGTTCTACAAGTTGGTTTTAGTCTACCCAAATCGTATTCTACGTTAATCTAAGCTGAAATATGATAGCAGTCAAAAACGAACTTTACTGTAAAAAATCGTATCTTGGCCCCAAAAAGTCTCAAAAATTCCCCATTTATCCTAGCATATGCTTGACACATCGGACATTTTACTGTATTTTCGTCTTTCAAACTCCGCCCCTAGAAGTCCTGAGCTCCTCCAACACACGTGTTCATATAGCTCATACATATAGAAGTACGACTATGTATTTGTATCCTCTGTAGGTGCTCCAGTTCTCGAAAATGCTGATGTCTAGGGTAAAAACGGTAAAATATTATAGACATCTTAAGATTCGATGGACACTTATGGGTTGTCCAATGCTAACTATAGTCTTCGGCAATGCTTCAAACCTGAACCATTGCCCAAGACTAGGGTCGGCAAAAGCGGACAAAGTTTTCAGCTCATTCGATGAAAGTACGAAAAAGGCCCCTCAGAAGTTCCCTCATTTTCAAGTAATTTAGCACTTAAACACTTGTACAATGGAAAGCTTTTAATGAAAACATATCAAAAATGAGCAGATTGCAAGGTTGAAAAACATGTAAGCAAATCGCAGTGACGATGAAAGACATAACGACAACTGTCATATTCAGCAAAGTAAACATTCCATGATTACAGTCAATATTCCTCTAACGAAGCAAATTTCTCATCCTCTTCTTTAAATATGCACTGTGGCATTGTATTGAAAATCCATTCCGACTTCGGAACACCTTTGCTTTTCTTAGCAGGTCCAACAGTTTTTATATTGATTGGATGATTGGGATCCGTTGTTATGATCCATTCCAAATCATTTTTGCTGAAAGATCTTCCATCTGGAGAATCTTGCAGGGTTTCGCCGTTCTCTTTTCCTGGCATTTGAGGTTTCTCACGTGAAGTTCGCGAGGATGACGATGATGTTGTGCCATTCAAAGATTCTTCCTGAGGTTTGGGCATTGTAGAGGATTTCTGAAAAGAGATTGTAGGTGAAAGTTCACTATAAGACGGAGGCGGTTGTCCAAATAAGCAAGCGAGCGCGTGCGCAATGCGGGCGATGTTGAAAATAGGTAACAAACCATAGCTCATCACTTGGCACTCTTTTTGCGGAAAATAGAGAAAGCCTAGGCAATGAAAGTACGGGCCCTCGATCCTGCAGCGAAAACTTCAAAACGGACACCTCCCCCCCTCTCCTCGACTTCCACCCCCGAATCCTCAGATGTTGCTAAATGTAGCACAGACACCTACGTGTAAACCTGAACGCTAAACTAGCAGGCATTGCTTTTCGCAAAACATGGTTTTTATGCAAATACCGATGTAATCTAGCAGAATTTAGTCTAAATTTAGCTGAACCTGATCTTCTGACTTTTAAAGACTCAAAGATAAATGAGGTGAAACGAGACATGTGTAAGTAGAGATGGCAAGAGCGATAATTTTGTTGATTGGGATCTAAAATGACATCTCCTTTTTTGATGTAGCTATGAAAAACTTATTTTATGGGAGGTGGTGGAACCATACTTCACTCTTTTGAAGTTAATTAAATTTTCAAAGGCTGAAGGATGAAACTCTCAGAAGATCAACTTCCCAGTGTAATAAGAAAACAAGAGTGCATAACATGAGAATGATGTGAGTCGTTAACGAGCCCTTCTGACAGTAAAACAAAACGGAAATCACGAGTGTAGAGGCATAAGTGGCATAATACATTGTTCTTTTATTTTACCGTCCCCCCCCCTTCCCTTCGCTCTCGCCCGCTTTTCACCTCCTTGCTCATCCAAAATCAGCTTTGTTGCAGGGACACTAAACCTAGATTAATTGAAAGTTGTCCCCATTTTTGCGAGTAAAAGCACAGCGTTGCAGATCTAAAAAGGTACTATGTAAAGAGAGTGGAAAACGATGATAGGAAGGTGTAGTATGGTGTTGCGGTTTGTTCGATTAGGGGGTGCTTTCCTCTTTAACGCTGAGATTTCTGTCGCCCATGCTCTTCCCATAGAATTATCCCACAATCCAAAACGTAACAAATCAGCGGTTTCCTTCTATCTTCGTGAACGCTAATCCAGAATTTCTCTTTCAAACTAGCTTTCAATTTAGTCTGCGAAATTTCCCATTCGTCAAAGAAGATGCAAGTCCGTCACGATGTTCCTTTATTTACCAACTGTCAAAATCACTCACTTGGAGAAGAACTAAGATGTGTAGCCTAATAGTGGGTATTTTTTGTATACCTTTAATTACATCTCACGTGGACTCTGTACTATGTATTCACCGCATCCACAAAGTTCACGATGATAGATCAAACTCCGTCGAGCGCGATCGTAAAATTTTGATTTGTTGGGTAAGACCGTTTCCCTGGGATATGATTGCCACTCTTATGGGCCTTGTGCTGAATGTGATTTGGGACAGAGTACGAGTGAGTACGAGCTTCGACGAGATTTTATTGTTTTGATACTTATGGAAAAATTCTATTCTTGACGAGAAGGGTAGAGGACTATACAGTGCTGGCCAAAACTATAGATCCACTCTGAAAACTGCCGTAGCTCATCTGCTTCTGAACGAGATCTGAAATTTGATATAGCTGTGTGCTTAACAGGCTACCATAAGTACCCAGAACGGATCCCACTTTGGTTTGATTATTCAGGAAAAAAATCAAAGAAATTTAGAAAAAAACAGGCTTGGAACTTGGCCGAAAATATAGATCCACCTAAAGTTTCTGTCCACCAAAGTGATTGCTTCCACAATCTTTGGTGCATATACATAACTGAAAGTCAAGACAGCCGATTTAGTTCAGCTGTGTCATATCTTTATAAAAAATGCTTATCTGCTTTTTTAATCAAAAATACTTTCACGCTATTTTGTTACCGAGTATGTGTTTTTATGGGTGAATCCGCAGTTTTTCAAATGGTTTTGAGGGCCTTAGGGCTTCACTGTCTTAAAGGCAGCGTACACCCAAAATTTCACCTTCGATGTTTTTGTCATTCTGGGGCCTTTCCGTGCCGCTGATTACAGTTATGACATTGAAATCCTCCAAAAGTCCCAAAAACCCCAATTTCCGAGGACCCCTTCTTCATTGGGAGGACGAGTTTCCAACTGCTCGGCCCCGTCAGAATGCAATCGGAAAGCAGCTGCAACAGCATGACGCCTGTAGTAGTTGCAACTTGCGTTCTGTCTCCTTCGGACGACGAATCCACGACAGCATACGCAGCATTTGCAGTTGCAACTACAGGCGTCATGCTGTTGCAGCTGCTTTCCGATTGCATTCACTGCAACTTACGCTGTTGTGGATTCGTCCGGGAAAATTGAGGGGGTTTTCTCCGCTCAGAATCAACACTGGGAGACCGGACCAACGCAGTTGGTCTTCTTCTGGGCCCTGTATATACACGGTATAGAAAAATCTAGAGATTAGGTAACTTAGATTTTGGGTGTACGCTGCCTTTAAGGACGCCTGACGAAGTGAGCGCTAGAAAAAAATTTGAGTTTTCGTATTCAAAGCGCACCCGACATAAACCTAAACGCAGTCTGCCCTCATTTCCTGCAATGTCCTCATGAGCGTGAATTGAAGTAAGACATTGTTTGTACATATGAGGGTTCGTATGCAGTGGTTGCAAATTTTTGCATGTCCTAGCATGCTGGCTAATTGAGGAATTCGTCCTGCAAAAACTGATCAGCAACAAGCCTTGAATTTGGTTTGACCATATTGCTCATGTGAGTCGGGCAGAAGGCAACATACAATGCAGTGTGTTTTCATTATTTAGCAGCTTAATAGTGGCAAAAAAATTGGAAAGGCACCACTTGATGAGTATTTTGGGATTGCCTTACATTACCATTGAACCGCGAAAATTATGCCTTGTTTACGAAGCAAAGTGCGACTTCGCGAACAATCGTGAGTATAGTGTACAATCTTCTTTTTATGCAGATAATGCATCCACATTATTTAGAGCTTACAAAAATAGCGTAAACCAGCTTTGAAGGCAAAAATTTGAGCGCAGGCTCGCCGTGAGATCTATGTGGATGCGCTTTGAATACGAAAACGCATTTTTTTTTTTCGAATGCTCACTTCGCTAAGTATCTGTAAAATAGATGGAGTCCTATCGCTTCCAAACCAGTTGAAAAAAAAAACTGCTGAAATACCCCCAGGAACACATTATCGGCAACAAAATACGCGTGAGAGTATTTTTGAGTGAAAAAAAAGCAAATAAGAGTTTCTAATAAAGATATGACACAGCTGAACTAAATCGGCTGTCTTGACTTTTGATTATGTATATGCAGCAAAAAATGTGGAAGCCGAGCATTACTTTGGTGGACAGAAATTAGATGGATCTATACTTTTGGCTAACATCCAAGCCTGCCTTTTTGTAAAGTTTCAATTTTTTTCCTGAATATTCAAACGAAAACGGGATTTGTTCTAGTTACTGATGGTAGCCTGTCAATTACACAACTGTACCAAATTTCAGATCATTTCATCAAGAGGCAGATGAACTACGGCAGTTTTCAGGGTGGATCTATAGCTTTGGTCAACACTGTATGTCGCCGAAAAGGGGTAGTCACCCCCAAAACCCAACGCCTTCATTTGCTGTGAGGTAAGACCGACACGTTTGGCGCATGTAGATAGTTTAAATAGGCGGGATTTCCCCAAGAGGCGGGGCTTCGCTCACTATGGGAACAATTTCCTCATTCGCTGCTTCATTGTCATAGAAATGCTAGCGAAAAATACCCAATTTTGCCTGGACTATGCACAAAAGGAAATCTTTTTCTGTTTCAGGAGAAGAATAGTCAACATGAACCTTCATGGTTCAAATAATACGATAACCTTCTTTTGTAAGTTTACAGTTTTGCACAAATATGTATAGAACAAGTTGACCATAAAAAACAGGATATCCGGCAATTATTAACCATTTATTCTTTTTTGTCGCAATGTAAAACAATATTTCAACAAATTTGAAAAATGAAGGCACTGCACAGATTTTGAGTTGCTAACTCAAGACTAAGTGCATTTACAATGCGGTAGTTCACAAAAAATGGTAGTGTTTATCACAGTGCTGTATGAGCACTTTTAGAGAGCAAATTACTTAATAACAAACTTATCAAGGAATGAAATAGAACAAAAATTCAAGTGAGAATAAAGAATCGATCAGCTACATGATGCATTGAAGCAACTTCCCGTATATAGCGCTCACTTACTAGCTATTTTAAGCTTACAAAAAATGTTATGCGTAATAAAATTATCTGAGAAGAAAAACAAGTTAGACAACAGTTGAGTGCAAGAAATTAAAAAAGACAAGAGTGAGCATAAGTACAAGTAGAATAAAAACGAACAACATTGAGCACGACATTTAGGCCAATGTGAAGTAAAAAACCCTGAGCAATACTTGGTGGGGTGTGTTGTGTTTGCGAAGAGTGTGTGTGCAGATACGGTAAAACTAAGGAGATTGACGAAATGATGGCTATTTACTGGTATGAAACAGCTTCCAATGCACACCAGATGCGGTTTACAGAACAGTAAAGTACAGAAAACGTGGTGGAGGCGAATGTGTTCGAGCCGACTCTACGCTCAGAACCGTTCGCTCCCATTGCGCTGACGTCCCAGCCGGTTAAAGTCTCATATGGGCTCTGACAGTTACACGTGCGCTGATGACGTGAGTTCATTACGTGAGGCACATCTCGCATGAGTTCATGCTCTTATCGTATGATTCCACTTGTACCGTAGCCTTTGAGATACCGTATTTCTGTCGGATTAGCTGGCGGGCGGCTGTTACCGTGGTCAACGCGTGCTCTGATGAATCTGAAAAGACACGGATAAAATAATACAGTAAGCAACTAACTACTCCATAAGGTAGTCATTAATGGGACTGATAATTCAAGAATTTAGGTTGTGGTCGTCCTCATTCCAGTAGACTTGGTGGATGATTCTGATTTAAATTGGGATAGGCCGATTGCGTAGACCCTCAGCCCTCAGTCTAATTTGTCATAGATGGTACAATGCTCTGCCGCGACTACCTGCCCCAGTTCAAATTCAAAATCGTCCACCATGTCCTAACTCGGATGAGAACGAATGGGTCTATCATTCGAAAAACTTTTTAGCTCACAAAAACGAAGGAGCGGTAACATACTCATATTTCAGGTCAAAAATTATCAAGTATTTCCATTCACAAAACTACCAAACTATGTAAGCTAATATGTGGAAAGCACAAAAAATTGAAAATAAGTGAAAAATGTAAAAAGAGATAAGAAATATTCCTTACCTACGGCCAAATGTACGGATAATGCTGTTTTGTCCATATTTAATGACCACATGTGTAAATCATGCACGCTTTGAACATTTTCTAATGCAGCTAGGTCTTCCTTTACTGCATTGAAATCCATGTGTCGTGGTGTGGCTGAAAAGTGAATATTCACAGACAGTTCTAGGAAGGTCTTCAAAAAATCTACTATACCTTCCATAAGTACAAAGAATATATCCCTGAGTACTGTGATTGTTGTGAAAAGGACGATGATTGAGAAGAAGAATGTGCAAATAGGATCGGCGTATTCCCAGCCAGTAAACTAAAACATAGGTGTGAACAATAATCAATGAAAAATCCAATAAAAAGAGAAAAGAGAAGGGGCACATACCCAAAGAATAGCAAAAAAACAATAAAAAACCGAAAAATTACCTTGATGACAACGGCAGCAATCAAGACGCCAATCGATTGAATCAGATCTCCAATTACATGAATAAATGCAGCTCTAATATTCACATTCTTTCCATGATGTCCATGAGCATGGGCGTGGCTGGAAAAATCAAATTTCAGTCGTGACTTCACCCCAGCTTTATGCTTTGATTCAACGATAATGGCGGCTGGGAGGCGACCCTCGCACCCGCAACACACTCTGCGTCTCCCCCACAAACGGCTCTGTGATCATTCTCTAGCCTTAGTAGGTCACGAAGCCCCGCCTTCCAGCCGCCAATCCAGTTGAATAGTTTTTACCCAAAGGGTACCCCACTGGGTAAAAAACTTTACCCATTTGGGTAAAGAACTTACCTATGCCCTACATGACCATGACCATGTCCACCACTGCCAAAGTGCAATACACCACCCATGATGATGTTAAAGCCTACGCCGACACCGGCGGTGATCAGCATAATGTCTGCGTCAACGCCTAAAAACCAGAAATCACTTTCATATTGCCAAAAATCATGCAACGATGATCGATAGGAACAAAAACGTACTCAAGTCATTGTTGACTATCCGTTCAATGGCCAACAGTACAAGTACTGTGGTCAAGACCCAGAGTATAATGATTGAAACCATTGCTCCAAGAATCTCGGCTCTTTCGTAACCCCATGAGAGCCTCTTGCTGGCTGAAAATCATGATGTAAGTCAAAATTTAGAAAAAACTGCACTTTTCAAGGCCTTGAATTTTGCAGTTACGAAACGAAATGATTTGTGATGCTATCTAGATAAACATAAATCATTTTTTGCCTAATTAAGCGGAGATGAATAAATTTTTCTGTCCATCTTCACTATCAAAGCCCACTTAAAAAAAGACTTTTCTTCCCACTTCCCCCCTTGCCCAATCCACTCTCCTCAAAACTTCTGCAATATAACAGTAAACACGTACGTGGTTGTCTTGCACTTCTTATGGCCATAATTGAGATGATGAATGAGAGTAAATCTGACAGCATGTGACCAGCATCGGTCATGATGGCCAAAGACGCTGCGAATAAGCCACCGGTAAATTCGGCGATGATGAAGACCAACGACAAAAGTGCTACCGCCCATAGAACTTTTTCAGCTCGCCGATTCTGAAAAAAAATGTCAATGAATGCATGTAAAAAAGTGAGAAAATGCACCTTCCCTACTTCTTAGACTTGTTATCTGTTTCGCTGGAACGATACCGTTTATAATAAGCGATTTAGTAGCATTGAATGATTTTAATTTCCTCTTTGTTTACTATTTATGCGACATTTTATGCAACCAACATTGCCCTTCAACGAAAAAAAAAACAATGAAAAAACCTTATTTTCGCTTTTTAATGTTCTTTTGCGGCAATCCGCTAAAAAGATTACTTGGCTGCGCGACTCGTCATGCAATAAGATGAACACAACTGCATCCGGCATTGTCCAGGATGGTCACGTTTGCAGCAATTTCTCAGCACGACCACCCTTTCGGCGCTACTCGCGCAGTGCCGCGAATAGAAAGACTGAAGCCGACGAAAAAGGCAAATCAAAGCACTCTGCAGTGTTTTGAGCAAACTATTAGGATAAATATTCTGCAAATTCTATGCAACCCTACTCTGTGCCGTGCGTAAGTCGCGATTGCTAACCATCCTGACTGCTTTACCTGACCACCAAGTCTTTCGCAGTAGCAAGTCAAGTTGTTACTCGAAAAATGTACACAGAAACCCATTTCAACGGGGTGGAGCGCGACTCGCGCACGACTTTTACTGATGAAACATATTTTCGATTCCTACAACGCAACTTGTGTTCGCAATTCTTCGACCCAATTTTGCTGCAAACTGCAATCTTTACCAAACATGCGTTCCTTCGTAATAAGTTTTCGTGTACAAAAAGTGCATAACGCGATTGATCAACACGGATAGGTGCGTGCAAAAGAAAATCTTTGTGAAAATTTTCACGACAAAGTGCAAAGAAGGAAAGACCAGTTCCGCAGCTCGTGGGTAAAAAGATATAGATCTTAGACGATTTGAACAGCTACAACTATCCAATGATTCAATATTTCATGATGATATATAGATATATATTTTAATAGTAAATTTAGAATTTAGAAACTATATATTAAAATAGTAAATCTAGAATGCTCTAGAAGCAGAGTTCAGAGTTCAAAGGTTTGAAACGTACAAAACCTAAACACAAACCAGTTTCTCGTTCTCCCTCTCCTCACCTATACACAACAAGCACACACTCTTTGCTTACCTTAGTATCAATCTTGATCTCTTCCTTCGGATTTTCAATGTCCACTGATGAATTCTCTGATGAATTATGCGTAGCAGTCATAGTTGTTGCACACAGATTATATGAGGTATACTGTATTAGTGCTTGTGCAGATAATTACAGGATTGTAGATGGTGTGCTGCGGAGATTGGGTAAGGGTAAACTGTAAAATGGGAACCGTTTGTATCACAGTAGCGGCAGAAGATGTGCGATGTGGAGTCTGTGTTATCGCAAAAAAACGCGAAGAACACCAAACGTACAGCAGATACATCATATTTGGAGACGACACGAGAAGAAGATGGTGTGCACTAGGTGGAAAAGTAGAAAACAAGCGATCAGCTACCGCCTATAGAGAGTACAGCATATGAACAAACTTAGCGACCAAAGTGAGGTGAAGTGCTCGATGTCAGGTGGTTCATTCGTTCGCTCGCTTCGCTCGTTTAGTTGTTAGGTAGGTAGATAGGTATGTAAAAGGAGAAGACACACATACAGTAGGTAGAGAGGAGATGTGTAAAGTCTACAACGTCGTCAACCGAATGCCACACCGTTACAATGTCAATAGGCACTGTTTTCATAAGGAAGTAGTTCGGTGGGCAGCGCTAATACATCATAATATGTTTTTACATTACATTTCGCAAAAAACCCCCGCTTTGCCTGCCACTATGTACAGCAGCAAGATACAGAACAAGTGCACTGGATACGTGCGCTTGGAGACCGTGTATGGTTTAACTTCCTTAGTAGACAAATTCAAAATAGGATAACATCATCTAGAACTAAAGTTAATAGAAAGCCCTTTAAAGTAAAGTACTGCAAAAATCTTGCTATATGTATAAACAATCAAGGATATTGACTCACAAAATTTTTTTCACAAAAGAGTACATCGGTTACGCCCATTTTCAGTCTCACATCGTCCAAACTTTCTCGGTTGTCATTGTGTAATTATATGAGTTAATTATTTGTGTAATTATATAATATTGATTATATTGCCAGTGTTGAAGATAATCTGAATGAATAAACAACATTTCTATTTCGAAAAATTTCCTCCAAAGTCGTCCCTAGCAAGGGCACTTAAGACCACGCCCCTTTTTGGACAAAATGCTCAAAACTTTCGGAAAGTTCCTGCCCCTACCATCACCACTAAGTATGCCTTGTAGGACTATTCATCAAAGTACCGATTATTATCAAGTCTAGGAAAACGACATGAAAAACAGTACAATTTTTGCAAATCAAACAAAATTTGACTTATGTATCGCTATGACTAATGTCTGCAGAAAGACCTAGAAATCTCGAGAATTTCCATGACAATCAGAACAGATTATCAATCAAATCATGAAAACAAGTTATTGAAGTTTTTCGAAACAATGGGAAAAAAGAATTCGGAAAGGTGACGTCAAAAACGGTCACGCTCAAGTAGTAGCTCAGGCACTGAAACTGACTGCTTCCAGCGATTTTTCAAACGTCAGATTTTAAAGCTGACCGCTATCAGTTTCACGAGTCTGTGCGGGGTAAAGACCGATAACGGAAATCATTATTGACTCACATGCATGGTAAATAAAATCAAGGATCGAGAAGTGAAAGATTTATGCCCAGAAAAAGGATTCATCGGAAAAGAAATTCTTGAAGACGGTGTTCAAACCACGCCCATATAAAGCATAACTTCTTAGTTTCTTCATTTTGTCCCTAACATTTGTAGTAGTCTAGAAAAGCCTCGATATATGAACATGTTTGGCAATTTGTAGCTCTAAGCTTCTCTTCTCATTCGCTCCACACCCATAATACCAGCTATTAGCGCACAGTCACACCGCTTGAATCCGAACAAACATGAAACTAGAAGGATCAGCTTTTCTTATGAGGCAGCAAAGAAAAACAAAAGCAATCGATATATTGATCGTAATTACCAAACACAAATTGACTATCCAAATGGGACCAAAAACTTCTATCTTCTAGCACCATCACTACAGGATCACCACTATCAAACAACATGATCACTACCAAGCGACACCATCGCTACCAAGCAACACCATCATTACCAAGCGACACCATCGCTACCAAGCGACACCATCACTACCAAGCAACACCATCACTACCAAGCAACGCCATCACTACCAAGCAACACCATCGCTACCAAGCAGCATCATCATTACCAAGCGACACCATCACTAACAAGCAACATCATTACTACCAAGCAACATCATCACTAACAAGCAACACCATCACTACCAAGCAACACCATCATCACCATCACCATCACCACAGGGATGGTGATGAAAGGAGAGGTGGGTGTGTTTGATACGCTTCTTATACATAAGATGCGACGATTCGAAATTGTATGACACTTCAAACGCCGATCCAATTATTTAAGAGCTTTTTCCATATAGAACTTATAACGCAATTCGCTTAATAGCAGTAGAACATTCCACAAAGTAGAATTTGATGGAAATCGATCAATCACAAAATTGCTGACGAAATGAGATTTTGAGAGTATTAGAAAGCGAATGAATTACTCGAAAGTAGCACAATAGGCAAGTGTTGAATTTGTCAAAATCAGATAAGCGAAAGTTCAAGCGTATAGATACCTCAAACCCAGGGCAAGTGATTCATCTTGGGTGACGCTCATGTTATACCCAAAATTTTCTTGAAGAAGAAATGGTGAAGCATTCTGAGTCATATCATAAGTTTTTGCTATATTTGGCTATGAATAAGATTTACAAGAACTTTATTACTTTGCTAATAAGTCATGTAAGAGGAAGCCGCATCTCTACAAAGTAGCGTTCGTTAAGCAGCTACAGTTGAATTTTTTCGCATGAAAATCTGCATTTCTTAAAGGCAGCGTACACCCAAAATCTAAGTTACCGAATTTCCTAGATCTTCCTATACCGTGTATATACTGGGCCCAGAAGAAGACCAACCGCGTTGGTCCGGTCTCCCAATGTTGCTTCCGAGCGGAGAAAACCCCCTCAATCTTCTTTCACCCCGCCCCTTTTCTTTCACTCCGCCTCCTCCGGACGAATCCACGACAGCGTTAGCTTCGTTGCCCTTGCAGTTGCTGTTGCAATGCTGTTGCATCTGCAACTGCAGTTGCAACAGTGCAGTTGCTTTTTGCGGCGCGCCTCCTTCGGGCGACGAATCACGACAGCATATGCAGCAGTTGCAGTTACAGCTGCAGGCTGTCATGCTGTTGCAGCTGCAGGCATGCCGACGGGGACGAGCAGTTCGAAACTCGTCCGCCGCTGAAGAGAGGGTCCCCGGAAATCGGGGTTTTTTGGGACTTCTGGAGGATTTCAATGACATAACTGTAATCAGCGGAACGGAAAGGCCCCAGAATGACAAAAACATCAAAGGTGAAATTTTGGGTGTACGCTGCCTTTAAAGTCGCGTGGGAAGAAATGAATGAATATCACTCCATATCGAGAGCGGAAGAAAGTCTAGGTTGAAGAAAAAACTCAAAAAATGAAACAATGTTTGCTTTGCAATCATTAACCGGAAAATTTAGTAAAACACAAACAATATTAACATGACAATTCTAGTCGCCGAAGAGATTCGATGATACCCATAAAAATTTCACAGCAAGAAGACAAAACCAGACAGCGATTCAAGAACGGTTAGTCTGTCAAACCATGTAGACGCCTCATAGAAATCATAAACGACAAGAGCAGTCCTTGTGTGTGTATATCCCTGGATGTCGGAACGAGAAGCTTGAAAAGATAAATTCGATTGAGAAATCTTTCATACTTGAGAGTGGAAAAAGTGGCTCGACCAGTTTCTAAGGATATCTCCTGCACATTGTGTTTAGTCAACTAAAAGCCTCAGATCGCTACTAAGTCTATGCTTTCACCACCTCCTCGTGGTTCTTTCCAACACCCTTGGAGCTCTTATTCTTCAAGAAATGCAAGAACTCGTTCCAACTATAAAGCGCTCTTAGTAGATCTGTACTTTACGCCCAAGGAGGCTATTTCGAGATCGCTGCAAATAAGCAAACTGCATCGATAAAACTAGTCCATTCTTATGCTTTTATTCAATCAAAGAAGGAGATGGACGAGTTTTCGAGGACATCAAGTTTATTCTGAGATTTATACAAATAAAAAAGCATCGAGTCTAGACAACGCTGTTAACAAGTACCTATTATAGAAATTTCAAGAAAGAAAAGTAACCACACTTGTTGATCACTGAGCAGTAGACAGTTCATAGATCACTCAAACCAATAAATGCGGTTCAAAACAGCGGAGCAGTGTTATAAATTATTCTGAATCTAAAAATTACATGCCTTCCAAGTTGAAAAACTTTCCATGGTCAAAAAGGGGAAGAAAAGAACATCTCCATTGAACCAAGTTAATGTTAAGATGAGAAAGGCAAAAGTGGTGGAAAGAATCAGAATCCACAAACGTAAATTCTATGCAAGAATCATGAATGGTAATTAAAAATTTAACAAACGAGGCGAGAAGAGAAAATTGGTTACAAAAGTTCGAATAGTAGGTAAAATTGAACTTCCGTCCAAAATTCCAGATGGGTGCATCATTGTTGTCTCAACAAACCCGTATAAATGCAGGATAAAAACTATGATTGCACAAGTACAATAGGAATTATCTCATTCAATACCTCACCAAATGAGACGCGAAGGAGGAATTGCCATTGAAACCACACCCCAAGAAAGAAATTGATTGTTTGAACATTATTTTGAAAAATCCAAAAAAGCGGTGAAATGTGACGTGAAAAGCAATCAAGCTCCTTCAACGATCTTTATTTCTATTTGATGCATGCATAAATGCTTCTGAAGAACGTGGTTAGTGCAGAAGAAAACGAAACGGAAGAAACAGTCTATTAAAGGCGGCGTCTTCAGGAGCTAGAGCAGATCCAGATTTTCAAAACAGCAAATTTATCCACTGAACTGAACTATATATTATAGATCATGATGTGACCATAAGATTATCACTTTTAAGCGAATTCAAAGAGAAAGCACCAAAGCAACTGGGCGAATCCATGCTCGAGGATCTTTTTCGATGGAGAGATGTCAAGGTAGTTCCCATACAAGATATGGAAAGGGCACAGGTTTTGTTGAAAAGAAAATAACACCGCGTCGAGCAATTGAACACTCAAAGGACTACGCAGACAAATCTAATCACCTGGATTTTCATGTGAGAACCAGCTGGAAAGCCTCCACTAAGCCACTGCGCAAGTGTCAGCTCATATGATTCACTCATGGCCAAGAAATTCATCTTCAACTTCTC